GCTGTGTCGCTGATCTTAGAGGAATAGCTTTCAGTTTTTTACCATTAACAATTGATAAGTAGGCTTTTCATGTGTGCCCTTATTATGTTGATGTACTTGCCTTCTATTCATACTTTGTTGTTTATCCAAAGGAATTGAAATCAGGATCTCAAAGAGATTAGCACTCCCATGTTCATTGCAGCACCATTGACAATGACCAAGATGTAGAAACAAGCTAAATGTCCTTCTGTAGATGAATGGATAAGGAAAATAGTATATACACACAATGGAATATTATTCAGTCTTTAAAAATGAGGAAATACTATAATGGGACAACATGGCTCAAACTGAGGACACTATGTTAATTGAAATGAGCCAGTCACAGACAGATGCTATATGATTTTACTTATATGAAGTATCTAAAATAATTAAAATCATAGAATCAAGGAATAGAATGATGATGTTTGCCAAGGGCTGAAGGAAGGGGTAAATGGGAAGTTACTAATTAATGGACGTTAAGCAAGATGCGTAAGTTCTAGAGATCTGCTGTACAGCATTGTACCTGTAGTCAGCAATACCGCACACTTAAAAATATTGTACACTTAAAATTTGCTAAGAGGTTAGATCTCATTTTAAGTATTCTTACCTACGTGAAATAATGTAGTAAGGCTTCAATAAATGTTAGATAACATTAAAATTATTAAATATAGCAGGAAAGTTAATATTATGTAACAGTAAACACAAAGTAATATAATATTTAGAGGATGGTAATATTTTTACTGTGACTGGGGACAGTTGGGATCCGGAGAAATTCACTGAATTAATGTTTAAATTTTGAAGTATTATTTCTGTAGTGCAAAAGAAAAAATAAAAAGGTAAAGGTGAGTAAAAATTAAAACTTCTGGGGACTTTGCCATCAGAAAGATTCCTATCTGAGGCCCAGCTCCTCTCCTCGCTAGTAGTGTGGTTTTAGATAAAGCAGGCTCTGTTAGGATTCTCCCTCCTTGAGTCGTGATTTGGTAACTCTCTCAAGGTAGTATGCTGCAGCAATAGTGGGAATAACCTTGTTAATTTCCTTTGCTCAGCAGTTGCTGTGCTGTGCCTGTTGTGCAATGTCTATAAGCCAATATTTTATATATTTTGTCTAGTTTTTTAGTTGTTTAAGGCAGGAGTTAAATGCTGTTTCTGTTCATCATTTTCAGAAGCAGAAAACCAACATATTTCTATTTTACTTTTCTCCTCAACGAGTTGGGACTTAACATCTAATTCTAATAGCAGAGTGTAGTTAGTTACCTTTTTTGTACTCACTAAATGGCATTACAAGTTTTTGTTTACTAATTTGCTTCCCTACTAAACTGACTTCTTTGAGAACAGGGATTGTGGAGCTCATCTTTGTCACTACTACCAACGTACTATCAAGTTTGTACTCTGGAACCTATCAGGCAGTTAGTGAATATCTTTTAAATTTATTTAATAACTGAACTGTAGTTCTGTGCCACACTGTGAAAAACTGAATGGTATGCTAGAGATATATATTATTCTGTAAACAATTTATGGTTTTGAGGAGGTAAGGGAAATTTCTTGAGCCTTTCTATTTAATAGAAGGTTACTCTTGAAGCATAAATATGGATGAAAGACGTAAGAGGTTGAAAATAATTACATTATTTAAGATTCTAGGCTATAATGGTGAAAATAAAGAATTGACAGGATCTAGTCAGTGAATGGGCATTGCTAAGAGGAAAGATGAGAAAAATGACTAACATTTTCACTAATTATGGGCCAATTTATTTTAGAATGAAATAGTAGGGCATTTTTTAACCTTCTTTACAACTTGAATGAAAGGTTTAGCATAAAACTTTGGGAGCAGAGTTTCATAATGTAAAGAAGTAATTTATGGTAGGAATTTATGTAAATTTTTAGTTTATTTGCTAGAATTCAGTTTGAATTTAAAATATTTTATAATTCTTGGGGAAAAGTTTATTATGAGTTAAATTTTATTGTATATGGTTACTTTTAATTATACGATAAATATCTCTTTATATGTAATTTTTCCTCATTATAATCTATTTGTTTATGGATATACATATTTTTCTTTCCCTGTGCTTTTTGTAGGTTTTAGAATTTATTGGTAATGGACTTAGGGCTAAAAGTTAATTTTGTGCCATTGAATGGTACAACACCTGCAGCATGACTTAGAGTAAGAGTCATTTTTTCCCAAATATATTTTAATGTTGCTTTTATGGTATCAGTCTCCATTCAAATCGTTTTCTCTTTCTGAGAGAGGTTGGAAGAGCTGCTGAGTAAGTGGAAGAGATGGTAGGAGTAAAGAATAAGAAATATCAGAAAAATCATGGAAACCCTCCAATGTCAAACATATATTTATAAAATATAGTATAAAAGTAGCCATTTGAAAAGTTAAAATACTTGTAACAAGCACTTGTTTATAGTGGTTTGAAGGAGATTAATTAGAACTAACAAGTTGAATATATGGAAAAGAAATATTTCTCCCAGTGAGTTATTTTCACGTAATCTTTTTGAAGAAGCAATGCTTTTCTTTTTTTTTTTTTTTGAGACGGAGTTTTGCTCTCGTTACCCAGGCTGGAGTGCAATGGCGCAATCTCAGCTCACCGCAACCTCCGCCCCCTGGGTTCAGGCAATTCTCCTGCCTCAGCCTCCTGAGTAGCTGGGATTACAGGCACGCGCCACCGTGCCCAGCTAATTTTTTGTAATTTTTAGTAGAGACGGGGTTTCACCATGCTGGTCTCGATCTCTTGACCTCGTGATCCACCCGCCTCGGCCTCCCAAAGTGCTGGGATTACAGGCGTGAGCCACCGCGACCGGCCTAACCTGAAATAAATGACACAGTGTTTGAACAATAACAGTAAATATTTTTGATACTGTGTTCCAATTCTCCTTTCAGTTTCTTACATGAACTATTTGTTACTCTTGTTATAGAAAATGACACAGACAATGACTGACATTTATTGAGTCACCCTTTGTGCTCATAACTGAACTGTGAGGTAAATATTATCTTACTATTCTTTACAACAATTTCATAAGACAGATACTATTTTCATTTGACCAGTGAGGAATCTAATCCTAAAGGAGATTAAATAACTTCCACAGAGTCACCTATCTAGTTATGCAGAGTTCATCTCAGTCAGTGATATAATTGGTAGAAATGATTGCTAAGTCTATTGTGTATAGCATTAAGGGCAATGAAAGGAGCCTACATTTATGCTGTAAACAAAAGAAAGTGAGCTTTTTGGAACAGTAGTGGGGAATGGCCAGGGAGGGAGAGCCAGTGTTCTTTTCAGACTGCTAGGAATGAGTGAACTTTAATCAGAGAAGGCCAATGCCCCAGTGCAGCAATGTCTTTCAAAATTTTAGGTACTATTTTTGACACTCTTTAGACACGGATATCCAAGACAGCTTAAGAGCTAGTTTATGCCTTGCTCTGACCAACTGAGGGGCCAAGAGCAATGGCAGCTGTAGGGCAGGTTCTTATGACTCTTGATTCTATTTGGAGCACCTCCTGTGGGCAAACTGTTACTTGACACAGCTATTCAAGATCCTTAGAGCCCATGAGACCTGATGCCATGCAGTGAGTGTCCCATCAGTTTCATCACTGAGACCTCAAAGTCTATAATCTTAACCAGCGTGCTACTTTGTATAACAAACATATTTATTGTTCGTTGTGTCTACATCAATTACAGAAAAGCCCAACACCTATCCCTGCATACAGTTTTAAACTCTGGAGTGATATTGAGCTCCAACCCAGAGGAAAAAATAAACAATTATATAATATGATCTCTTATTATAAATGGGAAACCCTCAAAAATGTATAACCAATTAGAAATTATTCAAGTTTCTTTTAATCGCAAGAATGTTTTAACGTGGATGAATTGCAGAGATTAAAAAAAAACCCTGACTTTCTCAAGTTCTGCTATAAAGAAGTCTAGTTTATTGCCTTAGTTTCAAAAGAATAGTTTTCTGAGTATTTCAAAATATCCGGCTGGCTGCCCCTTCCATTCTCTTTGGAAGCTTCTTTGTCATCCTCATGGCACATCCCTCTGGCATGCATGACCAGCTGCAAGCTAAACCCTGTGGAATAAGAATTCTTTCATCCCTTTGTGTGATGTGTTTCATTTTCAGAGTTTGGATGATCCTCTTCAGCAGCAGCAGCAGGCATTGTTAGTTTCAATAGGCGGCCTGGATGCACAAGAACAGTCATCATAGAGAGACAGGCTCTCAGGGTCCGTCCCTTCATGTCATAGTGCTGTGTTAGATCACTTTCCTCTGCTGGATTAATGGCCAGAGAAAAAGGAAACAAACTGTCCCCAAAGGAATCCAATTAAAGCACTTGAACTTCACTGACGTCTATTCTATTGTTTTCTTAACTTCCTAACCTATGGTTAATTATTCTGACCAGTGGAAAGAAACAGCATAAACACAGGAATTATCTTAAATTCCCTACTTTGTTTAGTTTGTAAAGGCATCAAAATTTTACTGTGCAGGGTGGAATACTAATTTGGTATAGTTGAATTCTTTTTGGCTAATTTTTCTATTTCTTCCCTACTATCCTCACCAAAGTCATGTCAGGACTTACTGTACAACACTCCTTGGCTTCTGGAATTTTATCTCTGCTCAGTCTACATTACAGCATTAGTTCATTCTGGGCCCTTTAGCTTCCTTAAATCTCCATTTGATCTCACACCATGCCTATGATATTCTTTCCCTGGTTAATCAAGAATTCTCTATATCTACTCTGTCATCCATGCCACTGTAAGTAGGAAAGTAATTTAGGCTTCTGAATCACAGCTTGTCATTTGTGAAATGACCTCCTTTGACTCTGAAATTCTGTGTCCAAAATATAAACTAGGATTTCCAGTAATAATAATTTATATGTATAAGATGATTGATAGTCTGCAGAGTGTTTTTATGCATTTTATTTTATATATTTCTGACTATAGTTTTGTGAGGAGAGAAACATTATTATCTCTTTTTTTTTTTTTTTTCAGAAAAGGATACTATAGCTCAGAGAGGTGAAGTGATTTACCCGTTCAAGTAAGTAGTAACTGCCTGAACCTGAACTTAAATTCAGAGTTTTCCCCACCAAGAGGTGATGGTTTTCTCTAGTAAGGGAGTTTCTTTCTTAAAACCTTAGTTTCTTTATTAATTAAAATTTTTTTTTGCATATGAGTATATATAGTTATGCTCCGGTTGGAGTCTTCTTATGCTGAATTGAGTTTGGGGTGGAATTTTGTGCTCTTAGTTCTTGTCAGTGGAGAAGTCTCCTATAATTTCTAATTAAAGAAAGATAAGAAGGAATGTATTACTTTTCTAGTGTAGAATTTTGGTAGCATTGTGAACCTCTCTGCCAAATTTATTTGTATCTCTTCATTGTAAATTCATTCTTCCAGAAAGCTAATATACTTATTAAATGGTATTATGTACGATTAGGAAATGACAGATATACAGTAGACTCTCTCTTAGGTTCTTCCTGCTTCTGGCCAACAGAATACTCTGAAAAAAATGGTTTGTTTTTGTTTATCTGTTTACCTGCTGCTATGCTTATCTAGAGTCATTTGTGTTTGTTTTCAAGTTTGTTTATGCCAATTAAATGTACAATTGTAATTTAATTATGCAAACTGAAGAAATATGAGTTCCAAAATATAAAGAGTTATTGATATATAAGATTTAAGTGAGTGCCTTGAAAAGACTTTCTAAAGGTGAATTGCTAAGACAAATTGCAGTTTAAATAGGTGTGGGCTACACAACTGTGAAAGGTTGCCTTAATTGGGGGTGAAAGAACGTAAAAAGCCTGGAAGGATCCCTCATTCAGTTTGCTTTCCAAGTACCTTTAAGCTGTCACTGAATTTAAATAAACCCAAACGATACATTATGGTGTCGTTTAAGTAAGAAGAAAAACGTGAAACTTTATGTAGCAGATCAAGAGTCAATGACAGCCATTGGTCTTGCATCACAAGGTTGAAGGTTGGTAAATAATTTCATGGTTTTCTTAATTAATATTTTACTTTAAGTTCTGGGGTACATGTGTAGATCATGCAGGATTGTTACATAGGTATACACATGCCATGATGGTTTGTTGCATCCATCCACCCCCCATCATCTACATTAGGTATTTCTCCTAATGTTATCCCTCTCCAATTCCCCCACCCCCTGCTATCCCTTCCCTAGCCCCCCACGCCCCAGCAGGCCTTGGTGTATGATGTTCTCCTCCCTGTGTCCATATGTTCTTATTGTTCAACACCCACTTATGAGTGAGGACATGAGGTGTTTGGTTTTCTTTTCTTGTGTCAGTTTGCTGAGAATGATGGTTTCCAGCTTCATCCAAGTCCCTGCAAAGAACATGAACTCATCCTTTTTTATGGCTCTGTAGCATTCTGTGGTGTATATGTGCCACATTTTCTTGATCCAGTCTATCACTGATGGGCATTAAAACCAACCCAAGTAATTTCATGTTTTAACTTTAAATAAGCTAAATATGTTAAAATCAATTTAACCAGTTTTGTTCTGTATCTCAGTGTCATTTTGTGTTAAAATGAAGATGAAAATAACTTTACCCAAGAAGGGTTTTTTTTTTTTTTGTATATGAGGATTAAACAAGATGTATAATACCTAGAACAATGCCTGGCACAAGTAACATACTAAAACAAGTTAGACATCATCATTATCAATGGCAAACTGAGATTGTCTGTTGAACGGCTTATATATACTTATATTACAAATATAATATTATGGATTTTTGCTACTAGCTATTAGAATATTTTATCAGCAATGCATACTAGTTCTGTTTAGGTAAGCAGGGAAATTCTGTCCATTTTCTGCCTCCACCCTACCATTTCTTTTTCAGGATTTATGAGAAGAGTAAGTTTGACTGTAACTACCTATGTCAGTACATGCTGAGACCTGAGATCATATGTGTGACACAAGTAAAAGTGCTATGTGTAGTCTCAGCCCTGGGATATGGAGAGTTTGTGGCATATTGGTGGAGGCGTGTGGAATGCTTAAACAGTACCCACCCATACAGAACCTAGATCTAGCCAATGTGTTTCTGATTTAAATGAGCAATCAGCTTCACACAGATCTCTCCCAATCGAAAACAGAGGAAACAAAACAAAAAGAAACAAAAGTCTTGACAAAAAAGATTGTTAGTTAAAAAGAATAGTTGTATGGTAGTAGAACACTGATTCTAATGCTTCGCATTGTACTTTATGCCTTCCATTCCTAAATGCTTCTGCTGACTGCTAGGTTACATTTTCATTAATGAATCCACATTTAGAAACTGCCTTTTTTGGAGGAGAATTAGCTTTTTACCTGCTTTCTTTCTGAATGCTTGCACACACAATTTTGTATAATTTCATATCCTGATTTCCTCCCTAAGAATGTACTCTTCATAGAAAAGAGACTCAAGCTTCAGAGTAGTAGATAGCATCAATACTGCTGATAGTATCCCTCTTGGTTTGAATGTTATAATGGTTGATTCAGTGCTGGTGGCATAAGAATGAATGAATGCACTATCAACCTTTTTTTTTTTTTTTCAAACAAGCAATGCAATGCTATCTACAGTGATTTACAGGATATTTCTCTAATTTTAAAAAATAAGGCAAGTAGGTAGCAAAGTGGGGTTCGAAACATTTTCCAAATTTGAAAAAAAAAATTAAATGGTATAATCTAGAGTTAAGTGCCCATTTGCTTTCTTAAATATTATAAGTATCACTATTGGTCACTTTCTAGGCCTATAATGGAATTTAGGTCTGTTTGTTCTTCAGATTATAGTGTAGCTTTACCTGTCATAAAGCTATTGGATAAAAGAAATAACATTGTTCTGTATCATGACTTATCATGGCATTGGAGTTCCCTCAGTTCATTACTATCTATGAATATTATTCACATTTCTTCTCTGCTCCTGTCTTTCTTATGCTTTTATTTCAGTTATAACATAGTCTACCAATTTGAACTGTCCTCAGCCTTTTGCTCTCAGATGTGTCTTCTTCATATTTTTTTTATTCTGCAGTGTGTCATTATTTTGTTGACATGTATCCTTCTTTTTAACCTGTACTGTTTATTCCTTAGTTTGCTGATTTAAATTTCACCCACTTTGTTTCTTTAGGTACACCATTCCCATACAATTACTTTACATGAACACAACAGTAAAACATAAAAAATAGGTAGCATCCCATAAAATCACAGACTTTATATACTATACAATAGATACTATTTATATAATGGGTTAGATATTCACACTTCTATCCAGTAGGGATCTATACATCATACTCTTTTGTTAAACCTGATATTTTTAAGGAGGTAAGATTTGAGAGTGTTTCCTTCTTTATATGACATACCTGTCAATCAACATGATATTCAGAACCCATTGTTAAGTACCTTTCTAGGCAGAGAAAAGAACCAGTTTCAGTTTGGATATGTTTGAAGTACTCTGTTCTTAACTCCTATTCCTGAATTGGCCCAACTCCTTGATATTTTACGTTTTAAGTTGTGGATTAATGCATATCTCTAACTGGCCCAGGATGTATTGCTAAACTTGAGGTGAGGGATTAATCCACCACCACCAGTGCTTTGCTGCAACAATAAAATTGCATCAGGCAAGCAATTTAGCTGTAGTGCATAATAATGGCAAGCATATCATGGAAAATGAAGTTGATACGATAGAAGAAGTACACAGTTCAAGTACATGTGCATGTACAATGTTTCTGTTCTATTTTACTTAGGAGGCAGTTTGAATATCATTATAGTGGTGTAAAAGGCAGTAACTTGATCAGAGTTCTAGGTAAGAAAGTTTTTATTTATCTGTATCAGAGGGACGTGCTATGGAAGACAATCTGAAGATAAGAATACTAACAATAGAATCATCTTTTTTACTCATTTTTCAAATAGCATATGTCTTTCTGTTATGTTCAAAATTTTCACTGTATTATTCGTTGAATGATTTAACATATGTCCAACTAAAGATTAGATTGATATTCCATATAAAGATCTGCTGAAAATGTATATATATATATATACACACACACATACATATATATATATATACATTTTTTAATAGGTACTCATGATATTTAACTAAATTGATCAACTATAATAATAAATATCATTGAATTATTGGTCTTATCAAGTAGTAGACAAATAATTGCTTTCTTGGTTTGTGGATGTGATTTTTTTATAATTTTATTTAATCATTTACTAATTCGCTGTGCACCTATTATGTTGGGGATAGTATTTGGCATAGTAAGGAACATAAAGATGATTTAGACACAGCTCTGTCTACTTAAAGTGTGTAGTCTAGTGGTATGGTATGCTACATTCTTAGATTTGGTTCTTACTCTAATAATGTGTTAATTCCTTAATTATTTCACGTCATAAAAGTCTATTATTGTTATGGTCTCATAATTTAATTTACATCTTCAGTGTTCCTTATACTGAATTTAATGTATTACCAGTATATTTAATCAGATTATAATTCCTAAAAGATAAAATATTGTAAATATAAATATAAAAATATAGTAAAACCACTTTAATAATTTTATATGGTTTTAACTGGTTTTTAATCTTTTCACTCTGTTTTGTTGGACTTTTTTATTTGGGAGAAGACAGAAGAAGGAACAGTTGGCCTTTGGTGTTGAAAATCCAGTGTGAATAGAAACCCAAAAGGAGACTTTTGATTATCTAATTTCTAGTTCCATAACACACAAGGTGATGAGCCACAGGAGATGAAGATGGAGGGATAAACAGGTGCCTATCGTGAAGTGCCTTATGTATGCCATACTAAGAAGCTGGAAATGAGGTGGTATCCTCTAAAGGGTTTTAAGTGAGAGAATGACTTCTTAGTTCTATTGGGAAAAAGCTCTTCAGCAATTGAGTGTGGAAGAAGGGGTATAAAGAAAGGAGACCAGAATCTGTGAGACTGTTAGTAGACAATTCGTGGAAAACAGGGTAAAGTATAGTGAGAGGTGAGGGCATGAACTGAAACAGTGACTGTGAAGCTATGAGGAACAAAAGAGGAATGGATTCAAGAGATTGTTAGG